ATGCAGTCTTACTACATTGTTATCAGCTCAGTATCCCTGCGACGTAGATTAGGCTGGTGGTGACTTGCATCTCATTGAGCCAATGAATCAACATTAAGTTGCAATCTCAACTTTAAAGAACTATGTTGAACCTGGTTCCAAAAATAGGTTAAGTATCTCAAATAAATCCTTTTAAGTCCACTGGCATGGAGTGACCAACTCTCACAAGATTGAACTTCAGTAACTCAGTGGGCCTATGACCCAGCGTGATGTAGTGGTTTGAGCACTGGGCTATGTCTCTGGAGATCAGGGTACAAATACCACCTCAGGCTTGGAAATGCACTGAGTGATCTTCTGCAAGTCACACTCTCTCAGCCTCAAAACACAACAAAGGCAAACCCTCTATGAGCAGATCATGCAAAACAAACAAACAAACAAACAAACCAACAAACCTTAGGTTTGCTGTAATTCAAAAATGACTAAAAGGCACATGACAACAACAACAACAACAACAACAACAACAACAACAACAACACCTCAGGCCCTATCTACACTGCCATATAAAATCCAGATTATCTGATTTGAACTGGATTATATGGCAGTGTGGACTTAAAAATCCAGTTCAAAGCAGACAATGTGGATTGTTTGCTTTGATAATCTGGAATGTATAGCAATGTAGAACGAGACTCTGTGGGCTGAATCCAATTATTAGTCCCAAGCAGAGTGCACCCATTAAATCAATAAGATTTTTTTAAAAAATATTTTTTAATTTCTTCATACAGATAACAAAACAATACAATACGAACCTTAGCCATCTAAAAGATAACATAAGAACTGTTTACAATCTTTATGGCTAGGATACAGGTTCCAATTGTGACTCCCTTTACAGTATATCTTAATTAATTACCCCTTTAAACCCCCCACCCCACCTACCCACCCTTACCACCCTCTTCCCACCTCCCTCCCAACCCCATCTGGGTTACTTGAATAATACATTGATTTAATTGTCTGGAAGGCCTGTACTTATCTTTTATATATTAAAATTTATGATAGCCGCTATACATGCCACAGTCGCCAGAGGTTGGAATGATAAAACAAGGTGGGACCTGAAAGCCTGATGGTCGTATCTCTCTGAATATTTAATTAATGATTTCATCCATGAAAAGAAAAATAAATATTAGAATATTCAGTCAAGACAAGATTGGTTTAGGAAATGGTCTTGTTTAATCGACAAAACGGAAGGAAAAGATAAGGGCGGGGGAGGTATCAATAAGAATTTGGACAGTCAAGACTTATGTAAATGTTACATTGGATCTACTGTTGTTGGGACCAACCAATGCATTTGGTGGATGAATGAGTAGAGGTCAGAATTTCAGTCCCACCAGATGAGCATGTAAACCAGGCCTGCCTCTATACCATATTATCAAGTTACAAGGAAATGCTTTGGGGGATAATTCATGAGATGCTTGCATGAGAAATTAAGTGTGTGCCTATCAACATATGGCAACCTTGTGAATGTCATGGCTTTTATTGGTGAGCTGTTTGGCATTCCCATCATCTGACATACAGCTTCTGGCCTCAGGATATTCCTTGGTGGCCCTCCTTCCATGTCCTACCCAAGCTTGATCCCGGCTTAACCTAGATATGGTGCCTTCAAGGTATTTAGGCTCTTCAGAAACTAAGTACATAACACAAAAGTACTAAAAACTACTTCCGTAAGAACCCCTAAATATTAAACATGCAGTAGAAGCACATAGAACTGTCCGCCCCATCATGCTATCCGCCACTCCTTACAATTCCTTACAATCCTTACAATGACTCATCAGCCTTATCTTTGCTGACTAGAGAGATGAAAGCCTAAACCAAGGAGTCGGCAAATGTTTGAGATTGCTTGACGCATAGACAAGAGTGAAAGGAAGCATCCTTACTGTGCTTTTCTTTTGGAGTGTCAGCCAATCCCTCAGGGGAAGGGAGCCTGGGAGAACTCCTTGAAATAAATATCCATGGCAGGAGGAAAGAAAGAGAGGGAGAAAGAGTGGGCGTGTAGCAAGGTGCTTGTTGTGCCAGCAATCTGGCTGCTGCTTTGGAAGCCTAGTGTTCACCTTCTCAAACCCAACAGATGTACTTTTTGATCTGTCAGTTATCTGATTCAACTGCATAGCCACAACCATAATTTCAACACCATTTCCATTTCTGTTGCTTTCTCCAAGATTATCCTCATCATCACCAACTCTCCCAATCTTCAGATCAAAAAGGCAGATCTATAGTAATATAGGTTAGGTATTCCCTCAACCAGAATTCCAAAAGACTATAAAATCCAACCAATTTTTCCACATAGTAAGCCGAGACAATGACACATTTCCTTCCTGGTGGTTCAAAGTATACAAAATGTGTTGTCAAACGCTTTCATGGCTGGAATCATTGAGTTGCTGTGAGTTTTCTAGGCTGTATGGCCATGTTCCAGAAGCATTCTCTCCTGATGTTTCACCCGCATCTATGGAGAGGTTGTGAGGTTTGTTGGAAACTAGGCAAGTGACATTTATATATCTGTGGAATGTCCAAGGTGGGAAAAAGAACTCTTGTCTGTTTGAGGCAAGTGTGGATGCTGCAATTGATCACCTTGATTAGCATTGAATAACCTTGCAGCTTTAAGGCTTGGTTGCTTCCTGCTTGGGGGAATCCTTTGTTGGGATTGGCAGCACCCAAACACAAATCTAAGAACATGAAAGGCACTGCAGACTAATTCAACCAGAGAAGTCAGCCATAGCAGAGCACTTGATAAATCAACCTGGACACAGAATATTATTTGAGAGCACAGAAATGCTGGACCACTCTAACAACGACCATGTCAGACTACAAAAAAAGCCATTGAAATCCACAAGCATGTGGACAATTTCAACAGAAAGGAGGAAACCATGAAAATGAACCAAATCTAGATACAAGTATTTAAAAAATCTCTAAAATCAGGACAGTAAATAAAGAACAACCCTCAAAAAACATGGGAATTCCAGACAGGAAACAATCAGGGCCAGCTACTCACCTCCCAACAAAGGATTCCCCCAGGCAAGCAGCCTGCAAGGCTATTCAGTGCTAATCAAGGTGATCAACTGCAGCATTCACACTTGCCTCCAACAGACAAGAGTTCTTTCTCCCACCCTGGATATTCCATGGATACATAAACCCTACTTGCCTAGTTGCCAACATACTTCACAACCTCTGAGGATGCCTGCCATAGATGTGGGTGAAATGTTAGGAGTGAATGCTTCTGGAACATTGCCATATATACAAAGTTTATTTCATGCACAAAATATTGTATAAAATGACCTTCATAAGGTGTGTAGGAAACATAAATGAATGTTGAGTTTACACTTCAGTGTGCCCCCCACAAAGATATCTCATCATTCAGGCTACATACATGAGGTATGTAAGAAACATAAATGAATTTCGTGTTTACACTTTGTTCTCCCCCCCCCCCAAGATATCTCATTATGTATGGATATGCAAATAGGTGTATTTCGAAATCTGAAGTCCAAAATATTTCCGGCGCCAAGCCTTTTGGATAAGAGACAGTCAACCTGTAATCCCAACCCTTCTGAAGACAAACCGAGAAGGGAAAGAAAAGACATTGCTCCCTCTTTTCCTTTCAATCTGCTCATTCACCTCAGCCTTTTTCCACCTGCACATGGTGCTTCTCAGAAATCTTTCCCAGAAAATGCCTCTGCATCCACCCAGCTCATAAACCAAACATCCTAAGAAACTCTGAACAGACACAGAAAGACATTTACAGGGAGGCGTGGAATCATATCCCCAGGGTGCATCTACACTGCAGATTTACTTACTTAGGTGATCCCTTGGTGTCCAAGTAAGATTGTCCTCCAAGTGCGGTGACCTGGCGGTGGGTCCATAGGTGACTATGGAGCCCTATTCTTGACCTGCATGTTCAGGGCATCGGTTTCCAGGTGGAAGGCAGTTCCGATCAGGGTTGGCTTGATGCACCTTTCTCTTGGCACGTTTCTTCCTTTCACCCTCCATTCATGCCTCTTCACATTCTGCAGCACTGCTGGTCACAGCTGACCTCCAGCTGGGATGCTCAAGGGCCAGGACTTCCCAGTTCTCTGTGTTTGTGCCACAGTTTTTAAGGTTAGCTTTAAGCCCATCTTTAAATCTTTTTTTCCTGTGCACCAGCATTTTGTTTTCCGTTCTTGAGTTGGGAGTATAGTAACTGCTTCGGGGGACAGTGATCAGGAATTCAGACAATGTGGCCAGTCCAGCGGAATTGATGGCAGAGGAGAATTGTTTCAATGCTAGTGGTCTTTGCTTCTTCCAGCACACTGACATTTCTCCAGTTGCAATGGTTTGGTGGATACTGACCTTGAGTTTTGGAGTTGTAGTTCACCTACATCCTGTCTTCCCAAGAGATTTGCAGGATTTTGTGGAGGCAATACTGATGGAATCATTATAGGAATTGAGTGTGATGTCTGCAGACAGTCCACGTTTCTCAGGCATATAACAGAGTTGGAAGGACAATAGGTTTTGAAACAAGCGGTCCTGGTCGGGGTTGGCTTGACGCACCTTCCTCTTGGCACGTTTCTCCCTTTCTCCCTCCATTATGCCTCTTCAAATTCTGCAGCACTGCTGGTCACAGCTGACCTCCAATTAGCGCGCTCAAGGGCTAGGGCTTCCCAGTTCTTGGTGTCTATGCCACAGTTTTTAAGGTTGCCTTTGAGTCCATCTTTACATCTCTGCTGCGGATTTAATGGAGTTTGACACCACTTAAACTGCCCTGGCTCAAGGCTGTGGAATCATAGGAGCTGTAGTTTTACTGTGCCCAAGAGTGCTGGTGACTCCCCAAACTCCTAGGATTGCATAGCATTGAGCCGTGGCTGTTAAGGTGTGTATTCAGTCTGCAGTGTAGATGCCCTTCTCAAATCACTGGCTCCAAGGAGAAACCCAAGAGGAGAACTTGAGATCCAGGCTGCCCTTTCCCAAACCCCAGAGAAAGTCAAATAATCTTTCCTTACCTTTATATTTATCCATCTTTTTTATTTTTCTCACTATTCTTATTTCTTTTCCCTTTATTTTTCCGTATAGGAGAAAGACAGCGAGGAGGATCCCAAACTTCTGCAATGCTTCTTGCTTCCTCTGCCTCCTTCCCTGAAGGAAACTCCAAGCTTTGCTTCTCTCTGTCTTTGCTTCTCTCACTCAGCCCGGGCTGGCTTTCCTCCCGCGGAGCCACGCCCACTCGTGACGTCACCATCGGCCTCTGGACCAATCGCGGCGCATACTGGCCTTCCGAAAAGACCCCCGTACTAGCATCCTCAGCCCGAAGCAGCCTTCTTGCCTGTCTCTGAAAAGGAGGACTTCGCCTCTCTGGACTGTAAGGGTGGCGCTTGTTTTCCTCTTGCGGTGCAGGGAGAAGCCACCCCCAGAGAAACTCAAGAGGAACCGGCTTGAGAGAGAAAGAGAGAGAGAGAGAGGGAGGGAGAGAGGGAGGGAGAGAGAGGGAGGGGGCGCATTCCTTTGGGAGAGATAAGGAATGGCAAGAAGGAATTACAGAAGAGGGCGGGAGCAGCGGAGTGGGGCTGGGTGACTCCGAAGGAGCAAAACAACAGGAATGGCGACAGGGCAAGAAGAGCAACCAAATGATTTTGTCATTTGGGAGTTGTAGTTCCTGGGATTTATAGTTCATCTACAATCAAAGAACATTCTGAACTCCACCTGCGATGGGAATTGGCACACAGAACTCCCATGAGCAACAGAAAATTGGTCATGGGAAGGGTTTGGTGTGCATTGACCTTGAGTTTTGGAGTTCACTTACATCCAGAGAGCAAAAAGGAGGAGAAGGGCAGGTGGAGAGATCATCAGCCTTCTCTGCCAAAGGGGTTCCTAAGACCATCAGAAATATATGTTTCCTGATGGTCTTTGGTGACTCCTCTGAAATACCCTCATTTTTTTTGTCGTGTCAGGAGCAAGTCGCTTCCGGTGTGAGAGAATTGGCCGTCTGCAAGGACGCCCAGGGGACACCTGGATGATTTGATGTTTTTATCATCCTCGTGGGAGGCTTCTCTCATGTCCCTGCATGAGGAGCTGGAGCTGATAGAGGGAGCTCATTCGCCTCATTCGAACCTGCGACCTGTCGTTCTTCAGTCCTGCTGGCACAGGGGTTTAACCCACTGCGCCACCGGGGGCTCCTATACCCTCATGACCCCCCAGGAGTCCCAACCCCCAGGTTTAGAATCAGTGCCATAAGCAGTCTGCCATCCAAACGAAACTTACCTTCCATCCTCAGATTTCTACTATTGCACTGAAACGTTAGAAATGGTTCACGTGTCCTAAGCTGTCAACACTGGCTGAGCCTGTGATCCCTGCATATACCTTGGGCCCTTTTCTTTGGCTGCCCCTACCCACTTTCTTCCCTCTTTCTCTTTCCCTGCCCTCACACCTTTCCCCCTTTCTTTTCTCTTCCTTTCTTGCCTCCTTTTTGTCTCTTCCCCCTTTCCCCTCTTTTTCTCTTTCTTTCTTTCCTCTCATCTTTCTCCCTTCTCTAGCTCAGAGAGAACCTACATCACAATATCTTCCTTCCTCCCATCCCTTCATACACATCACTTTTCTTTTCCAGGGACATCACAGAGGGCCACTTCACCTAGCAACAGCCAAATCCAGTGATGTTGCAGAGGGCAACTTCACATAGCAACAGCCAATCCTTCACCCAGCAACAGCCAATCCAGTAGTATTGCATAGGGCCACTTCACCTAACAACAGCCAATCCTTCACCCAGCAACAGCCAATCCAGTGGTATTGCATAGGGCCACTTCACCTAACAACAGCTAATCCTTCACCCAGCAACAGCCAAATCCTGTGATGTTACAGATGACTACTTTACCTAGCAACAGCCAATCCTTCACTCAGCAACAGCCAATCCAGTGGTATTGCAGAGGGCCACTGCACCTAGCAACAGCCAATCCCCCCCCAGTAATAGCAATCCAATGGTACACAGAGGGCTACTTCACCTAGCAACAACCAATCCTTTCTGCTCAGCAACAGCCAATCCAGTGGTATCATAGAGGGCTATTTCCCTCACCTATCAACAGCCAGTCCAGTGATGTTACAGTGGGTCACTTCACCTAGCAATAGCCTTTGTAGTACAAATAGACACAACAGACATACTCTCACTTTTATAATAATAATAATCATCATCATCATCATCATCTTTATTTGTACCCCACTACCATCTCCCCAAGGGACTCGGTGTGGCTTACATGAGGCCGTGCCCACAATACATCAATACAAGCAATAACAACAACAATAAAAACAATTAAAATAAAGCTCATAAACAAAAAAGCAATAAACAATGACAGTAATACAGCACACATTTATATATAGATGTCCAACTTAAGCTTTCAGTTATGGCAATACTGGGAATTTGAGGGCTGAAGGAAAATGTCCTTGGGGAGCAGAGAACATAGTAAAGTAATTCTGTTCAGAACTACTATCAGAGGGACTTTTAGGTGAGACCTTGATGGTAAAATTATGGAATTTTAAGAGGTGTCCAGACCACAACATCTTCCTTTCCCTTAGATGTTCCCCTGACTACTTTGTCCATCTGTTTTGCCAACCACAGAAGATGTTTTCAGGTAGAAGAACCTCACGCTAGCCATTAGAACAGCCATGCACAAACTTTGGCCCTCCAGGTGTTTTGGACTTCAACTCCCACAGCTCCCACATTGGAAGGTACTTGGTGACAGCGGCTTTGAGTCCCCTTTGGGGAGATCAAGCGGGGTATAAATAAATATATAATAATAATAATAAAACAACAACAACAACGAGTTTTGCCATTTTCTCATCCGGGAGTGGGGGGTGGGGTGGCTTTCATATTAAGAAAACAGAAGGAATACATATAACATGGAAGAATTAGAGGTAATCAGTGCTGAAATTCCCATAAGATTTGTTGAAGGAGTCATGATTGTGGCGGAATGAAAATTACAGGTAGTTCACGTCTTTACCAATCCACACATTGTTTTGCTAGAGAAAAGATATGCCACGCAGATGATCAGTAAAGAAAAAGGTGTTTACTCTTTGTTATGCAGAGCAACATATATACAGTCATATGAGCAGTTGCATGAACTCACACAATGTCCTTTGAGAGAGTTCAAATGGTCCTTTGGTATCCATGTGGAAGATCTTCTAGCATCTCAGAAGCAAAAATACAAACTGTCTTGTTAAGCTCCTGCACAGAAAACCTAAAAATGTAACTGTTGCCAAAACTCCCAGGCTCAGCTAGCTTCTCAGGCATAGCCCAACCAATCAGCTTTGTGCTTTGCATTTTCCAGTTAATATCACCAGCTGATATTTACATGCTCCAGCAATGATGGCATTTAGAAAACCCTCATGTGGGGCTTTTCACACTACACAATTATAGTAGTATGATTCTAATTTCTTCTCTGCCTTTCTAGCATTTACCAGGTCCTCCATCTCAACCAGTAGATGCACACCATGGAATTACTCTTCTGACTCCAGCCCCACCAATGATTTGTTATTTTACCCTTATCTTTCTGTTGAGAAAAAGAAAAGGTGGAAAAACACTGGAGAATTGGCCAATGAGCTGAGCCCCCTGTACATTTCCACAAATGTGGCAGAGGGATTAGGCAGTAAACCACCTCATGATCTGTTGAGGATGAGCTATATCATGCCTTTTGATTGGTATCATTAAGAAGTTATGTGTCTGGAGCATCCTTTTGTGCTTCGTTCTAAGGAGTTAATTAAAATGAAGTCTTTAATTTCAACTAAAGAAACCCCAGTCTGTAATCCTAAATACACTCATTATAAACCCCCACTGAACCTAATGGGACAGACTTCCAATTGTGTATGTACAGGAGCGCTGTTACAAGTGATCTCTTACTTTTTAGGGCACGTTTCAAATCCAGTGCAAATCCCACCTGTCTTTGTGATATCTGAAAAACAAGGTAAACTGCAATGACTGTTAAAGCAAGAACGTTAAGCTAAATATATAGACCCACAGTGGTTTTCCTTTGTGGATACCAGCAAAGAAAAGGTTCAATGATTGGGTATGAATTTTCTCAAGTGCCTTTTGTAAAGGGCATTCAAAGAGGCATTGGTGCTTAGTATTTTCTCTCTCTCTGGTTACCTATGAAATTGATAAAATATTATTGATTATTTTTACATTCTTAAATGTAAAAATAATCAGCACTGGGACTGTGGTGCAGCTGACTTGGAGTCAGCTGCATTAAGATCACTACTGACCAAAATATCATGAGTTCAAAGCCATCCTGGGTCGGAGTGAGTTTCTGACCAATTTGTGTAGCTTGCCATTGACCTTTGCAGTCCGAAAGACAGTTGCATCTGTCAAGTAGGAAATTTAGGTACCACTTATGCAGGGAGACTAATTTTCAACGCCATAAAAATCTCCAGCAAGCATGCAAAGAATGAGGAAGTACATCAGTGTCACAAATGGATGGTGAAGAGACAGCTCCCCTGGTTGCCAGAATACCCTCATGAAAAAGCCGGAATGTTAAATAGTCTCTGTGTGTCTGTCTATATATGTTGTGTGTTTATGGCATTGAATGTTTGCCATGTATATGTACATTGTAATCTGCCCTGAGTCCCCTGTGGGGTGAGAAGAGCGGAATATAAATACTGTAAATAAATAATAAATAAATTAAAAGTTTTGTAGCATTATCAAGACTCATTTCTGAATCCAATTATTATTACCCATAAGCCTACTGCATTCATCACTGGGGATGTCAGCTGGTTGATTCTACCTGTCCAAATGCATCTCTCTCTATGAATCACAGCGGAGATTAAGATATTTCGGGGAGGTCCTGCTCTCGGTCCCACCACCGTCACAGGTGTGATAGGCAGTGATGAGAGAGAGGGCTTTCTCAGTGATTGCCCCTTGGCTTTGGAACCCCCTCCCTATTGAGATTAGATCAGCCCCCTCCCTCCTGTTCCTCAGAAAGATGGTAAAAAGGTGGCTGTGGGTCCAAGCCGTTGGGACAATAGGCAACAATAGGAAACTTTACCTTGCTGACCGGATTCAATATGGATGATTTCAGATGGTTTCGAACAGTTGATTTTAACATGCCGATAATTGATTTTAGCTTTCATGTATGGTTATAGTTTATTTTATGTTCCGGCATTGAATGTTTGCCGTATACATGTTGTGCTCCACCCTGAGTCCTTGCTCTCTTCAGGGTCAGAAAAGTGGAATATAAATGTTTCAAATAAATAAATAAACAAACAAACAAATAAATAAATAAATAAATAAATAAATAAATAAATAATTCTGTTGGGACTAACACTTGAATTTAGAAATTAAGATCTGGGGAGGCCCTGCTCTCGGTCCCACCTTCTTCGCAAGCGCGATTGGCGGGGATGAGAGACAGGGCCTTCTC